AAGGGAAGAAATCGTGCTTTATGACCAAGTTAGAAACCTCTACTGACAGGTCCTGACAAACTTTGTTGCATTTGATAATTTTAGCATTGCCTATCTGGACACCTAAAGTAGGGATATATTCTACTGCCAATCCAAGTTTCGTGACAATTGTTACAAAATTACGTGTCGAACCTATCTACCAACATCAACACTTTATGCCCGCAAAGAGTGCCTTGACGTTTAAAGTTGAAGCAGATTCTTTGCCCAAAATTGCATGAAAAAAGATTTCCCCCAAATCAGTAGGGGGTATGTTTTCATTCTGATTACCCTCAACACTTTGTACATGGTTTTCCTCTTGCATTAACTTCAATTCTTCAAATGTGCAAAAGTCCCAGATCTGCAGCGATGGCCAGGGTAAACTTGTCTCCACAACGATAGCATAGGCCTTTTTCTCGCCGAATTTGTTGTTCAAAATTCAGTGGGCGAGTGTTTGGAAGAGATGACGGTTGAAAAGGGCGTGTAATTGGTTGGCGAGATGATAGAAAATTAAAGGATTCTCGAGCCGTTGGAGAGGAAGTCCCAATTGATGAAGGTCTTGACTGATTTAGTCCTTGTTTTCCTTGATACTCTAAGGCCAAACACATTGTCTTATACACTGATCGAGGCTTGTGAATCCTAACGTCCACACGAAGGTCTTCTTTGAGTCCACTAAGGAAAATTCCTAGCAAACAATGTTAGGCTAAGTTTGCACACGTGCTACCCGTTTTTCAAATTCCTGTCTATACTCAAATATTAATTCAGTCTGTTGTGGATACTACACAGATGTTCATTTGGATTTTGAAACTCAGCGGGTCCGTAATTTTCCTGCATAACTTTCACCAACTCATCCCAGTAATAAATGGTTCTTTCAAAGTTGATCCAAGCAAAAAGATCCAATGCATCTCCTTCCAAATACATTGAAGCCACATCACCCTTGCAATCATTAGGTGTTTGATAATTTTGAAAATACTTCTCTGCTTTCAAAATCCAACCTCGAGGATCTCTTCCCTCATACTTGGGAAATTCCATCTTTGTGTGCGAACGTCGATATGTTTCTTGATGCCTCCAAGTGCTATCAACCTCACCCTCTTCCAACAAAGCTTTAGATTCTCCATGCTGATTTTGCAGGTTTTGTGCTTTTAATGCAGCCACATCAGCAGCCAAAGCGTCAATGACTCCCAATTTCGCTGCTATAGTAGTTAATTGCTGGTCAATCTGACAAGAGTTGACATGATAGATTCGCCGTGGGAAGTGTTGGTTCGTGTGTTAACCATGACAGATCTTATTGCTCTGATACCAATGATAGAAACCGAGGTTTTAACTAAATAAAAACAACAGAAAATACAAAGAAAGACACAAGTATCTCGTATCTCGAAGAAAAATAGAAAATACAAAGAGAGAGTGAGAGACAAGTATCTCGTATCTCTGAGAACAACCTTTTGTCCATATAAAATATATATTACCATATGTCTACTTATTTGCTGGATCTCCTATTATATAATAGATAACTGATAACTACTTTATAACTATTTAGGATAAGAATATATAACTTCTAGTAACCATAAGAAACTGCCAAATTACTTGCAAATCAATATCTTCTCCTATCTTTCTTCACTTCTTCCTCCTTGAATAAGAATGGAAGATACGTGCCTTATCACATAGCAGCTGCAATTTTCCTCGCAGTAGGTTTTGAATGCACAATGTTCAATTTCTTGAATTCCAGTTTAATAACCGTATTTCATAAGTCTGCTTAAGATTGTTGGTAGGTATAGTTAGAAATTGTTATACACAAGAAGTCAATCGGTTGAAGATCCTAGGCATTTTGGTGAATGGCCAACAACAGGGGTGCTTCTCCCTGGGGACTAGGTGCTTGATTTAGGAGGTATCTATTTGCCTACTCGAAAGCTGCCGGCCAGAAGCAATTACAGCACACCCTTGACATCTATGCTAACATCACTGAAGATACACACTTCTCAAATTATAAACGTAAAGAGTATTGCTGTATATTTATTTTTCTCGAACAATTCTACATGTCGGATGATAATGCACCATCAACAGAAGATTGCCTTTCAGTTGTCAGCAATTTATGAGTTCCTTTTTCCCCAAATTAAGAATCCCAAGGCCTCGTGAGAAGCATGTTTTTTATATGCTTCCAAGGTTTTATCTAAAGCTTTCTAGTTGTTATAGCTAAAGATATGAGAATTGTCCTCAGGTGTCACCTCTTAATAGTGAAACAGACCTTGAGGAAATGATAATCTTCAGCATATACCCCCCCCCCCCCCACACACACACACTTTAGAGATTTATTATTTTGACTGTTGCAGCCATTAGAGTCAGATTTCTAACCTCATATATCATGTTGTCTTTAACCATCTATGTAAAGGTGCATTTGCAGCGTCACAAGTATGCTCGTGCTATTATTCTTTCCCCCAGAGAACTGGCCATGTACATTATTGGTGCTCTAAAATCTTCCCTTATACTCTAAGTTGGTGTTATCGTAATCCTTTTTTTCTTTCCTTTGTTTGCAGGTCTTCATAGCCATCTCTCTTATACTTGGGGATGGGCTTTACAATTTGATTAAGATAGTATCAATCTCCGTAATGGAAATTTTTAGAAATAGCAGCATGGAGAATAATATTCCCTTGGTCATGGAGGTCATAGGTAGGTCTTAATTGACCAAGTATTTGGTTTTTAAGTGCTGAGAAAAACATTGCGTATTCGACTGAGCACCAAATTGATAAAATTACCAATTGCTACATTAAAACTCCAAATTGCTAAAAAGATGGTTTCTTTCTGCTTGGTTATAATGTCAATTCAATTGGGATCAATGATCAAGCAGCGGAAAAAGTTGATGGGCAACTTTTGCGTTGACTTATTCCTCGTTTCTGCAATTGCTTTGTGAACCAATTAATCATTCAGAAATATTCTGTTAATGCACTATTGGAAGGGCGGAATGGGAATCTGAAATTATATTAATCTTTCAGTTGACGTGCACTTTTTGATTCTCGCTTTAAAATAGTCTTGAGAGATTGCTACTTTATGTCAGATGATGTTTCTTGATTTTTCTTTTCATATTCTTACAGGTGGTGAGAGTTCCAGACTAGAATTGGAAAAGAAGAAGCGCGATGAAGTTTTCCTGAAAGATAGGATACCATTCTGGTTTGCTGGATCTGGATATGTTGCCCTGGCTGCAATATCTACAGCCACAATGCCAATTATCTTTCCTCCTCTGAAGTGGTATTTGGTCCTTTGCTCATACTTAATTGCCCCTGCCCTTGCTTTCTGCAACTCCTATGGTACAGGACTTACAGACTGGAGCTTGGCTTCAACTTATGGTAAGATTGGTCTCTTTATTATTGCGTCACTGGTTGGAAGCAATGGTGGGGTCGTTGCAGGATTGGCAGCATGTGGAGTTATGATGTCCATAGTCTCCACTGCAGCTGATTTAATGCAAGACTTCAAAACGGGGTATCTTACACTTTCATCAGCTAAATCGATGTTTGTGAGTCAGTTGGTGGGAACAGCTATGGGTTGCATTATTGCGCCCCTCACATTCTGGATGTATTGGAATGCTTTTGACATTGGATCTCCTGATAGTCCATACAAAGCACCATATGCTGTTATTTACCGAGAGATGGCCATTCTGGGTATTGAGGGATTCTCCGAACTTCCAAAGCATTGTCTTGCATTGTGTTGTGGGTTCTTTGTGGCAGCACTGGCCATTAACCTCTTGAGGGATGTCACTCCAGCGAAAGTTTCCCAATTCATTCCAATTCCAATGGCGATGGCTGTACCATTCTATATTGGGGCCTACTTTGCAATTGACATGTTTGTTGGCACAGTGATATTATTTGTATGGGAGAAGATAAATAAGAAGGATGCAGAGGATTTTGCTGGTGCTGTTGCGTCTGGGTTGATATGTGGCGATGGGATTTGGACCATACCATCAGCTATACTCTCTATCTTCAGGATTAACCCGCCAATCTGCATGTACTTTGGGCCTTCTGTGCGCACCTGAACAAGTGTATTTGCAATTCTTTATTTACTCTTTATTAGAAAAAAACTCAGACTGTAAATTATCTGTTGTCAAGTATTTCTTCAATCTGTTGCACCTGTAAATGTGTACCCAATGTTAAGCTCGGAAGTTTCACACATGAAAATGAAATCTTACTAGTTTACTTTCAAAAGAAAATGTGCATGCATATATAGTTACCGAGTTCACTTTGGAAATGACTGGACACTCTCAAGCATTTGACATTGCTACTGTGTTTCCTAGTTTTGGGAAAAATACTGCAACCAGGGTTTCCTGGACAACGCCTACTTAGATCTGTAAGTTTTCTCCTCCTCACTTTTATTGCATTTCTTTTTACTTAATTGTGGAAGGCTTTAGCGAACATGAACACATAACAAAAGTTGTCTCTCTATCTAAATTCGAGTGCGAGTATTTGGTTCTAGTCGTATATCCAGAAGCTAGCTTTGTGATTGTATATATAGCCGCTCCTATACTTGTACATTTCTCAAAAAAACAAAGCAATAATTACGTTAGCCTATGTTGATATACAAATTTATTGTAGAGTTGTGTGAGGAAAGAAATTGAAAACATTGCGGCAGCCTGAGACGTGACAAAAGGAGGACGTTGAGAGACCTTTGATAAACAAATTCCCTCACCACCCAATATCTAATTCTAAATAGTATTACCACATTTTTGGAAAGGTCACCATATATTTATATAATTAATGAGAAAAAGAATTTAACATTACAAGTATAGAGTTGAAACATCTCTATATTCAAGGCAAGTCCTTTTCTTTGTATTTATTTTTAGCCGTCTCTACTTGTCAACACAATATATTAATTGCGTTGACATTAATACGATTGAAGAGCATTTCCAGGGTGAGAAACTATTTAACTTTGGTGTGACTCTAAGAAAGACATTATTACACTTATTTTCAATTTTCTGTGTATCATCATGCAATGCGCGTTAGGTGTTATTGTGTTACAGTATTATTTAACATCATCTACCAATTATAGATTATAGATTTGAAGCGCTAGTAATTGAATTTTAAAATATGAATATGTGATTTAAGAAAAAATTACCGAGTTCCACCCAGTAAACTTTTGTCAAAATTCCACACAGAAGAGAAGTACTAAAGCCCTCCTCCTGTACTGATCTTGTTTTATAATTAATTCATTCTTTAATACTATTGTGAAACAAGAGAACCATAGTTTATTGAATTAAACACATTTGTTCATAGATCCCAAGAGGAGGTATATATGAAACGTCAGAATACCAATAATACCATGGAGATGAAAGACTTTCAGATTGGAATTGCAGAAAAAGATGAAGCTAAGAAGCATCAATTGGCTCCTAAAAGAAAATCGAATAAAGATAGGCACACTAAAGTTGAAGGCAGAGGAAGGAGGATTCGCATGCCTGCACTCTGTGCTGCTAGGATTTTCCAACTCACGCGCGAATTGGGTCATAAATCTGATGGAGAGACCATCCAGTGGCTATTACAGAAAGCGGAACCCTCCATAATTGCTGCAACTGGCCATGGAACAATTCAGGCATCGCTTTACCGGCGGCTGGACCCTCTGTTTCGCAACAGGGAATAGATGGAAGTATTAGTAGTTGGCCTATGGTTGTTGGGAGACCCCAGTTGGGGATATGGCCTCCATCTCCTCCTGACATCAGTAATTTGGGAACTGAAAGTCTGCAAAAGATTTGTTTCCCTGGGTTTGACCTCCCATCCACCAATTTGAGTTTTACATCTATGTTGGGTGCCACTAACCTATCTGGATTGGAGCTCGGATTATCACAAGATGCTCCTATTAACCTTCTCCTGAGGATGATAGTTCTCAAGGATCAGGCCACTAGAGCTTTCATATAATTATGATTTTGGTGTTGGGTTTTCTTTTTATCATTCATTTTGACCTTTGGATCCTACTCGAGTGCTGTTTGTTGAAATATACATATACAACTCTTGTGTAACATATGTCAGTGCAAGACACTGAATTCTGAACGACCCTAAATTTTGTTAGGCTAATTCAACATGAACCACCTGGTTGTCTGGATGAATTCAGACCCTCAATATAGGCTTTCTACATAGATATTTGTATATACCGGGAACTCATTTCATCACTTGCAGGAAAAATCTTCAATTGAATAGGTCTCTTCAGACTCTTTACTGTTGCTACCTAAACTAGCTTTCTTCAGAAGATCCATCCTCTATTCAGTTCAATGTTCTTGAACTTCTACCTTCAGTGAAAAAGGTCGGTGCTTTTCAGGGATTCAACAGTTTGTCCATCAAAGTCAGCCTTTCATTTATAACCCTTTGCTTCATAACCCAACAAATGTTTTTTGAGAAATGCATTAATTTTTTGACAAGATGTTGACATTTTCGGTGTTTAATAATGTTTATCTCTATATTGCATCGTGTATTATTCATGGAGCTAGTACGTTATACGCTTGACATGGGATGCCAGATTATTCATGAAGTCAGTCAGACGTGCTGGTCCTAGTAGCTTCCTGAATAAAGATGTAAGTGTTACTTATTAATGTGGCAAAACTTTACTTAGCCTTGTTCCTGTTGAAAGATGCATTAGTGTTGAAGACTCCAATTGACCTTTGCACCTTTAACATGCTCAGATTTTGCAAATATACATGTATAAACATAAACACTAGAATTTTTCAGTCTGAAAATGTTAAAAAAGAAAAAAACTGTAAGGAAGTATGATCAACAGTAGAATCAGTTGACATGAAATATATTCAAATCTGTAAAGGCATGAATGGAAGAGGCTGTCATTCAATCAAGTAGTAAACACAACTGGATCATTTCCTTTTTTATTTTTAGATGTTAATGTGGCTACTAACTATCTCCTAGTGTTGCTTGTTCCCAGGAATAACCAGCTAGAGCATTTCATTCTGTCCTCTTTTTCTGCTTCCACTTATTTTTTTAAAATAGGAGTAATTTTTTTTACTCAAGGACCGACAAGCAAAATGAAAAGGATAAGAAAAAGGGTGTGTTTGCCATATTTTGTAAAAATATCTTTTTTATATTTGATGATTAAAATATTATGAAATTTTCTTCAAGTTTCTTAAAAATTAAGAAGGCAACTTCCTTCTCTAGCTACCCCATCACTCCAGTCAATCATTTGAATTCCTTTTCCTTTGAAAGATGGAGAAAATATAGGTGATGGATTCCCAAATCTTTGGGAGCAACTTGGAAAAGGCATCCATTAGTGGTATATTGTTTGTGGTCCATGCTCTATCTTCATCCTTACGGGTTGAATAGTCCAAACTCCAAAACAATTTGGTACCCACACTCCTTGTTGGGCATCGATAGAGACGGTACCTGGGCTACTTGCTAAAATAATGTTCTTTTCCATATCTACATTGCCATACTGTTGATAATTAGGAATATTATCTGATTGGAGCGATTCACAAAACATCAACGTGGACCTTCTTAAATCAACACATGATTAGTGATTATGTTATCTTCTTCTTCTCCTTTTTTTTTTTTAATAACACGTCGATATTGATAAATGATAAGAGTCAAATTTTGTCACTTACCTATCATGTTAATGTTTTTGTTTGGATTTTAAAATGGAGAATACAAGTATTTGTATGAATGAATGAACAAGTGGGTAAACATGGAATTACAAGAAATGATGGAGTCCGGAAAGTTGAAAATTGGAGGGCTAGAGTAGAGTATGAAGATGATTTAGGGTTGCCCAAATTAATCCATTCACCGCCCAACTTGTTACATGAATATTTGTAGGAGCAAGATTTAGTTATTTCATTTTTTATTTTATCTAAAATAATATATAAATATAACTTTAATTATCATTATGGATGATTTTTGTAATTTGATTATAATGTGTTAAATATTATATCAAATGTAATAATAATAATTGTACTAATTTTAATACTTGAAACTTCGGATGGTAACGATCAAATTAGTCAAAAATGATTCTACTAAAGGCATAAATCAACATTGCACTTTGAGATAGTCTTTTGTTTAAAATACAAAAAAAAAAAAATAATAAAATTTTAGCAGTCAATTTTGGAACAAGTCCATTAAATTCGTAATCTCCTTCCCCTTGGGAGAAAAAGAAAGGAGGCACTTAATTTTCTGAGGGCTACTTTAAAAGAGAATACAAATATGAAGATAATATTATTAAATAGAGATAGAATAGTATAAAATGAGTAGTCGTAGTTAGTAGTGTGATAAAATGGATGGCTTTTGCGTTCATTAAAGCGTCGTCTGGAAAGATGATGAGCTTTTGCCTTTCTTCCACAGACATTGGAGACTCGTTCTACTTTTAACCCTTTCATATCTTCTTCTTCATTCATCCCATCTCACTATTCTTCTTTACAAAAATTGACATGGATGACGAGTATGCTAAGCTTATCAGGAGGATGAATCCTCCCAGGTACTTCTCTCTCTCTCTCCTTCCTATTTTTTCATCAATCAACACCACCTAATTTGATTAATTTTCTTTCTTCTCTTGTGTCCTTACAAATCACTTCTTTTTCAACTTCTAACTGATCAAATGGTTTGTATAGTTAGGGCATATTTTGACAAATACATCTTTAACCCTTGTTTCTTCTTACAGAGTGGTGATTGACAATGACTCTTGTGAGAATGCAACCATTATCCAGGTTCTGTTTCTCTGTATCAAGTGCACTTTCTGTGCCCTAACTATTTATGTTATGCTCAATCTCAACCCTTGCGCAGGTTGACAGTGTCAACAAGCATGGGATTCTTCTTCAAGTTGTGCAGGTTCTGACGGATTTAAACCTTGTTATCACCAAAGCATACATTTCCTCTGACGGGGGATGGTTTATGGACGGTAACTTCTTATTATTTACTCAACACCAAAAAATTCATTACTTGCCACTAATTATTCTCTTCATTATTTCTTCAGTGTTTAATGTGACTGATCAAGTTGGAAATAAAGTAAGAGATGAACAAATCATCAGCTATATCCAAAAGGTATTTCACATTTTCATTGCAGTATAGTTTTATGGTCCATCAGCAAACCAGTCAGTCTTTAATATTTTTAGGGGTTGTTTGGTATGGAAATGGGATAGACGAAGTTACTCAATGGATTGGGACTAGATTGTTAATGCTGAGATAAGTTATGCTAGGATTATTTCTCATCCACGCTTTGTTTTGGTGTATTAAGGGCAGTTTTGTCTTTAACTATACCTATCCATGTATTAATAAACCTAGTTATACCATGGTTATTGTTATAATATTGAATATGATAGTATTACTAATACATGTGTTAGTTATACATAGGTTGAAAATCCTTCCAAACAAAAGATTTAATAATACCATGATTAGTACATGCATTATTTTCTCTAATACATCCTACTAAACAGCCGTTTAAAGTTTTCTTTTGCCCCCAACAAAATCAATAGGCTGTAGGCAAGAAGAATCGTATTTGCAAATGTGTAGATTGATTTCTTTTTCCACACTTAGCTCAAAGATGTGCATGGATCCTAAACTCTTTTAGTTTCTTCTTATACAGACTCTTGAAAATGATGAGGTTCTGTTACCCTCTTTAAGGGGAACTGTTGGCTTGATACCTTCTGAAGAGCACACGTCCATTGAACTTAGTGGTACAGACAGACCTGGCTTATTGTCTGAAGTGTGCGCAGTTCTTGCTGACCTTCACTGTAATGTGGTGAACGCTGCAATCTGGACGCATAATGCGAGGGCTGCAGCTGTGGTTCATGTTGTGGACGACGTTACTGATTGTGCAATTGAAGATCCAAAACGCCTTGCTACAATCAAGAAACTTCTTCGTAACGTCCTCAAGGGGAACAATGATTTGAAGACTGCAAAGATGACACTTTCACCGCCTGGATTTACACATAGGGAGAGAAGATTACACCAGATAATGTTTGATGATAGGGATTACGTAAAAGTTAGAAAGACAGAACAGGGCAACATTGAGGATTTGAAGTCCGGGCCTTGTGTAACTGTTTATTATTGCAGTGAAAAGGATTATACTGTGATCACTATGAGGTCAAGGGATCGACCTAAGCTGTTGTTCGATATTGTCTGCACTCTGACTGACATGCAGTATGTGGTCTTTCATGGAGTTGTTCACACAGGAAAGAACGAAGCTTATCAGGTAATGTTAGTTTCTACGTTGACAGTACTTGATAGTTTTTCTAACCCATTGTACTGATTCAGGACAAGCTTAGTTCAATTGAAGTAGTGAATTAGTTTTGGTTTGTGATGGTATATTAGCTAGCAGTCACTTCCTTTATCTCTGCTGCTTTGTATGTCTAATAATGTCAATCTATGGCCTGCTGCAGGAATTCTACATTCGACATGTTGATGGGCTTCCAATAAGCTCAGAGGCTGAGAGAGAACGGGTGATTTTGTGTCTTGAAGCAGCTATTGAGAGAAGAACCTCTGAGGTGAAGTGATTTAGTCCGAGACAACAAGATTTTAGTTTCCAAAGCTTTCTCTAGCATGGGGCACTAATATATGCTAGCTTTCTGCAGGGTCTGGAGCTAGAATTGTGTACAGAAGATCGGCCAGGACTACTTTCAGATATCACTAGGATATTCAGGGAAAATAGTTTGTGCATTAAAAGAGCAGAAATCTCAACACAAGGGGGAAAGGCAAAAGATATCTTTTATGTCACAGATGTGACTGGGAATCCAGTTGACCAAAAGACAGTTGATTCAATTTGTGAGGAAGTTGGCCCAAATATGCTGCATGTTAAGTGGAGTCGTTGTCATTCCGAAAAGCTACCTGAAGAAGGAACAATTAGTTACCTCTTTGGGAGTCTCTTCAAAGTTCGAACCCTCCAAAGTCTGAAGCTGATTGGATCCTACACTTGAGTGGTTCTCTGTAAGACTGGAAAACATTGTAGATATGTCAGATTTCAAGTAACAAAAAGTGTAGATAGATATCCTACCCATTGGTGAAGAATTCTTTAGTTTCATGTAAATTGTAACCATTAGATAGTGTGATGAGAGATATAGAAGAAACATCAGTAGCAGCAGATATTGCCAGGGGTTGTCTGTATATACATGGATGTGCATATATACTCTGGACAGTGTTCACTATAAAATGGAAGAACCAAACTGTATAACTTGTACAAATATTTATACTGTAAAAAAAAAAAAAAGTTTTAGTGTGACATTTTGGCTAAAATGAAAATGTCCTCAGTCCCCTAACGTATCCTTTTTTCCCCTTTAGTCTGCTGTTCATGGCTACAAGTAGCATGCGCTTGGTAATATTTTTTTCCTTCAAATGAATAGCTTTTTGGATAGAACAAGTTTAGCTCCTTTATTTGTAAAATAGGGAGGATGAGGCGATCAGTGGGGGAGTTTGCAAGTGTAATAAGCCGAGCTCTGATCCACGCATCAAAGAAAAGAAGGCAAACATGGACGCCAGCGCTAGAGCAAACGTTGTATCGCCTCGGATGCCGGGAATCACTCAGCCCGACACTCGTCGCCAGAGTCATCGACCCTTTTCTTGTCCACCACCATTCTCTTGCACTCGGTTTCTTCAACTGGGCCTCTCAGCAACCTGGATTCTCTCATGACTCCTCCACTTACCATTCAATTCTCAACTCTCTCTGCCTTACTCGCCACTTCAACCCCCTTGATAACCTCCTTAAACAGGTAAAAGCCCAGAAAATCCCCCTCCATCCTTCTCTAGTTCGCTCTCTCATTGCTTCCCACATCATTGCTAAGAAATCCAATTTAGCTTTTTCCATTTTCAGTGACTTCCCTTCCTTCGCATCCGACATTGGATCCCAAACTTGTAATTCACTTCTCGCTGCTTTATCATCACAAGGGAACTATAAATGTGCTTTTCAGGTGTTCGACGAAATGAATCACAGAGGTGTTCGCTTGAACACTCTTGGTTTTGGTGTGTTTTTGTGGAGATTCTGTGGATTTAATGGGTTGGAAAAGACTTTGAATTTGTTAGATGAGGTTAGGAAGATTGACTTTTCCGGAATTAATGGATCCCTTTTGGCAGTTCTAGTCGTGCACGGGTTATGTTCTCACTCTAGGATACCAGAAGCTGTTTCTGCTTTTGATCAATTGAGGATAAGGGAATGTAAACCTGATTTTATTGCTTATAGTATTGTTGCGAATATGCAAAATGTAGTTGACAAAGATTTGGTTTTGAAGAAGAAGAGGAAACTAGGGGTGGCACCAAGGAATAACGATTATAAAGACTACATCTTTGAGTTGATTTCGGAGAGGCTGATTTCCGAAGCTAAAGATTTGGGCAAAGTAATTGCGTCTGGTAACTTTCCTATGGATGATGATTTGCTCAATGCTTTGACAGGATCAGTTTCAGACATTGATCCTTTACTTGCCATCTTCTTCTTCAACTTCATGCTAGATAGAGAAAGGTCTCCTAATCTTGTTACTGGGAACAGGTTAAGTGTAAACCTTTGTAAGCATGGGAAGCTAGATGAATTGCTTGAAGTTTTTCAAAAATTGTCTTCCAGAAACTATTTTACTGACACACATAGCTATAATATTATGGTTTCGTTTTTGTGCAAGGCCGGCAAAGTGAGAGAAGCTTACGAAGTTCTCCGTGACATGAGAAGAAAAGGTGCAGTTCCTGATATACAATCTTACAATCTCCTGTTAGAAGCTTGCTGTAGAGAAGATCTACTGCGACCAGCAAAACGGTTATGGGATGAGATGTTCACAAATGGGTGCCCTGGCAATTTAGAGTCTTACAATATTCTTATTCAGAAATGTTCAGAAGAAAGTGAAATTGAAGATGCTTGTAGGCTTTTCCATGACATGATTGAGAAAGGAGTAGTACCTGATACTATTACATACACTTCAGTCCTTAAAGGGCTTTGTCAAGCAAAAGATCTCAAAATGTCTTTTCAAGTCTTCAGCAAATGTGCTATACAAGATAAAATCCTTGCATGTTCCGTCTTGTGTACATTCATACTCAGCCTCTGCAAGGAAGGTATTACTTACTCCATATATGTGATAATGATGTTTTACTTGTGATTTATATTAACTGCAAAGGAAGTTTTTATATTTGGTTGAATCTCTCTCATTTTTACCTTTTACAATTGCAGGTTATTTGGTTCCAGCAATGGAGTTACTCCATGACCAAAGCACTGATACAGCATTTTTAGACTCCCATCTGATTTTTCTCAAATTTTTAGCAGATGCTGAAGAGATAAGTTTGGCTGTTGAACATTTGAAGTGGATTCAAGGCAAATCCCCTTTGATGCATCTAGCAGTAAGCAATGAAATATTGGCATCAATATCATCTTCTTCAAAACCAGATCCAATCTTCAAGTTATTTCAAGTGATGCAACAAAACCTTCTCACTTGTACTAATGAGTTGGGGAAAGAAATGGCTTACAGATGTTCATAATCTCCATACGCTTTAATGCGGGAGACAACAGACATATTAACATACAAAACCAGCAACCATAATACATAGAGGATCTGTTTTATTTTTGGTCATACATAACAACCATAGTTTTTTCTTCTATTTTGTGAATGATAATAATTTTGAATTTACTCGTAAATTAGTTAGTTGATGATTGGAAATTGCAAAAGTATATCGATAATTAATTTTACCATTAATTATCATAGATGTCCAACCACTCTTAGTGCTCCATTTCGACATCAATGAATATTCAACTGACACTCTATTTTTTTGAAAAAATGCACAAGTATGCCTAAAATCTCAGATACACACTTATACTGTACTAGGTCCTATTACCCCTGAACTTATTTTATCAATCAGCATTAGTTCCATAAGATAGTGCCACGTAGGCCAAAAAAAAGTAAAATATTATTAATAAAATAAGTTCAGAGGCTAATAAGATCTTAGTATTTTATAAATGTATCTCCAAAATTTCGAGCATAAATTGAGGATGTATTAATGCATTATCCTTATTTTTTTTAATTTCATTCTTTCATCGGACTTGAACCATATCTCCCGAACAATTTAGTGCTTTCCGATCATGCTTGATGGACCATTTATGATTTGCTCATCTATTCGGGTCCTCTAAAGCATTTACTAAAATGTCTTTCACCGTTTAACTAATTTGTCATTAGTATATCCCATATTTATTTTTAAAAATATATATTTATTATGTATCATTTTTTTATTGGGCGAAACAAAACCTCACTTTTGATTAGATCTTTAATACTATACATATAATTTATCCTGTCTGAAATAATATCTCAGCTCCATGACTTAATTTTTATTTTTAGAGTATAAAAAACAGCCGCAAATATGATGCCAAAGACAAGTTTACTTTGGTGTAACACAAATACCGGCTACTGGTATTTGGCATCAGTTTTCCGTCTATTTCAATTTTAGATCTTTTTCGATAGTTAACAATCGTGTCGTTTTAAAAAAAAAAAAACCTTCTATTTTTAATATGTTTAAAAAAAATTATTTTTTTCTTTGTTTTGATAAATTTCTTTTATATGACATGTGTAAAATTATAAAATTAAAAAATAATTTTATATATTTAATATAATTTTAATTTAAAATTAAAAAATTAAAATTTTACTTTATTTTCTTAAATTTTATTTCAAGTTACATTATTTTTGAAGGGAGTAAATATTTATAGCAAAAAGCAGAGGATGAAAAAATTTACGAAATTGGAAGGACTCAAACGAAAAATGTTTTTTTAACTTCCGGTAACCGGAGCTAGTCCATGGCCATACCCATTACCAACTAAAAGCTTCGATCCTTGCTGATTCCGCAAGCAAAAAAAATCTCAAAGTTTAACAAAAGTGGAATTCATGATTGATCCAGCTGAGTAGCTACAAGATGGATAATCGAAACGTTGTCGTTTGCGACAACGGCACTGGGGTATTCTCTTTGTTCTCTCTTTCGAATTGGTGTTGTTTGAGTTTAGATTCGATGATAGAGGAACTTCATCTGAAGATTGAGCAATTGTCAATCAAAATTGATTTTATTAAGGTCTTAATACCTGAAATGTTACTTAATATATTAGAGAAAATGGGCATTAATGAATTGTAGTATATATACTTCCGGAGAAGCAGCTAAAGACGCCACCTTGAGTAGAAATTTCTCAATTTCGATGCTTGAATCACGATCTGCTAACTTGAGTTGATGCCATTCTTTTTTTTTGAAGATTACACTATCCTTGTGGTAATGGATTTTTTCAAATTAAGTCTGTCAACTATGCATCAATCAGAAACTAATGGGGGTGCAGTACTCCTCTATATCGATTTTTCTAGTTGGACACATTCCGTTCCGGCAATTTAAAGTACAGTTTTCATTTATCACAAGAAAAAAAGTTGGTGTGTGTCTAGCATGATCACATTACTTCATTCAACTTGTACATATGCCGCTATACTGCTTTATATTTTGTATGATGTTGGTGTGAGATGAATTTGAATGGAGAAACATGGTCAGTTATTCATATAGCCGATCCAAACTGGTTTGGAGTTGAGGTGGAATTGTTGTAGCTACTTTTAGTTTTATTTCTCCTTTGGAACTACTCAATCCTGGAAACCAAATCTCCTTAAGTCAGTTTTCCTTCGCATGATGCAAACTTTGAATTCAGTTCTGGTTATGAAGATCATCATCCTAACGACTCAATCATGATGCTATTCCTTTCCTAGTGGAGCTTGCTATTCAGTTTTATGAAGTGAGAGACTGTTTTGTACAGAGTATTTGCTTTCTTTTCTTGTTTAGCATTTCCTTTTGGGGCCAGTCATGGGGATATACTTTTTGAACTATTTTGACGTCTATATGGACAGTAAAATGGTGTGTCAATTCTCAATGTTTTGATGAACTAATGCAGTATGTCAAGTGTGGCTTTGCGGGTGAGAATTTTCCCACATCTGTATTCCCTTGTGTTGTGGGGAGGCCAATGCTAAGATATGAAGAGTCCCTTATGGAACAAGACTTGAAGGTAAATATCTCTCACTTCATGCTTACCCTACATTGGAAATGTTAGGGTTCTCTTGTATTTATCAAAAACTAGTAAGCTCTTCTTAGAGAAAGAAAATCTGGGTTGAAACTTCATTAGTTCTACAGTTGCTTGCTAAACTAGATGTTATAGCTACTTCTTGTGAAATGAAGTTTTAACTCTATTTTGTT